ATAGTATAGTATAGTATAGTATAGTATAGTATAGTATAGTATAGTATTTCAACTGATTAAATGGGTTTTATGGCAGTTGAGTTTCAAGGCCCCAAGTTTAAGAGGGACAAAAAATATCAGCTCTAAAATTTGTTGCTATCTGTTTGCTATTTCTTATCATTTTATCCAGAAACCCCTAAATAAAACTCTATTGTGTATTTAGCATAAAAAGCACAATGAAGTTTAAAGACAAAGCTTTTTTATAACTTCACAAAACCTGTAGGGAACTTTCTACAGTAACATTCTCTAAACGTTGTATGATGTTTCTGGTCAATTGCAGTTGAGGAAAGCCACATGTGTTTTAAAAGTTCAGGCTTCTTTAAATTACAAGGCCTTTATGTGACCTTCCTCTGGGTCAGTTTCAATCCAGGACTTTGATTTGCAATAACTGAGTACTGTATTTACTGTAAAATTATTTGTCTAGCTCAGCTGATGCAAAGACTCATAAATGATTCACAGCAGCTTATAGAAAACAGTTTTCTTGGTTACCTTATTTTTATCATGAGGTGGTTCTCTTACATACTCGGTGATTATTTTTGCTTTGTTCTATCATTATTTGTGTAGCTACAAGAGCCATGTGAGACTAATCCATTTGCCTTTTGATTAAAAATGATGAAGATACTTGAATCAGAATCCAGATGGTATTCATTAAAATGTTTTTTGAGCATCCGACTTATAGCAATGTGTCACATGACGATTATAGAAGAAGTCAAAGAGAAGCTGAAAACATATCTTAATCCTACCTGTGTATAATTTTATGTCAGCGCTACAGATTTTACAATATTATGCTTTCTCACTGAAGTTTCAAACTCTGGTTGTATGACTTCACAAGGTGGCACAGAAGAATTAGAACAAAATGAAGTGTCACCATTATTCATCTCAGTATTTTTTAAACCATTTGGGGTCTATATTACCTAGACTACTAATCTAACCATTCATCTATTCATTATTAGAATTTATGTGATTGTCAGCTGAAACGTTTTAGTGTGTTCAGTCTGATAGTCATTAAAATGCACAGAGGTGCATTTGGTATTTAGTTTTTTAACGATTTATTTCTCAACTTACTTATTCAACTGATTTCATAAAACTGTAAAAATATTTATATTATTGTTACGAAGCTGAAAAATTAGTTCAGTAAGAAACTGTCCTGTCCTGAAACTATTCAGTAAGTTTACAAGCACTTTTAGGTCACATTTTCTATTGCAGCAGCGCCACTTAGTGGATTTTATTATACATTACAAGTAGCAAAAAAAAAGATTAAATAAAAAAAGAGGCAGGGAAAGCTGAAATAATATATATTATAGTATTTACAAGCGTTTTAAAATATTGTTCATCTTGAGAAATAGAGCCAATATTTCATTTTTATTTTATGTTGTTCATACAACGCGCGAAACGTTCTAAGCAGTGTTATAATGAGTTTCGTATACCTTGTAATATGGTTCCACTATGAAGACCCGGAAGTATGATTCAAGAAGCCTAAACTCAGAAATTACTGAAATAGGTCGCTAATATTCACCTTACAAACTTTTGAAGTGTTATTTTATCTTAGTTTATGTAACACTTTTAAATTATTATTCAAAAATTAAAATATTTAATATTAATTTAAACTACAGAGGTAGTACTGGGCCGTTTACGCCTGAATGGGACGAGCGTCCTCTGTAGGCTGGATGTATCATAATTTTCAGTTCTTGCAAACAAAAACAAAAAAGTACCCTAGATAATTTTTTCAATGTGTTCACGTTTGTTGATTTAGTAGTTCTAACACTGCTGTCGAATTTTAAACATTTCTTTTTAAAATGCTTTGATATCGAAAAAACATTGATTGTGTTCGGAGAGAAGGGGCGGAGCTTAGGGCCTCACATCCAGTCCAACATGGCGGCGCCCATGTAGAAGGCTGATTGGTCCATCTTTTTCTTTATTTCGAATTATTTCTGGGTTAATTTTGTAAATTATATACATAATAGTGTGTTACTCAGCTGTCCTGTCCTTGACCAGCTACTTGTTCTTCTTCTATGTCGACAGCCGTGCTAATAGCCGCTGTTGTCGGCGGTGGGGTTCTACTTTTTATGCGGCGTTTATTCCCCCGACGAAAGGTTGCTAAACTGCTTCGGTATCCAGCTGGCACTATGCGAGGAAAGACCGTTATTGTAACCGGTGCTAACAGCGGGATAGGGAAGGCTTTAGCTGGAGAGCTGCTGAAACTCCATGCCCGGGTCATCATGGCTTGTCGAGACCTGCGGAGCGCTGAAGACGCAGCCCGGGACATGAAGGAGCAAGCCGGGCCAGAGCAGGGGGAGGTGGTCGTCAAACACCTGAACCTGGCTTCTCTCAGATCAGTGAGGACATTCTGTGAGGAAGTCAACAAGGTAAGCTGCACAATGAAGGTTTGATTGTTAGTTTATTTTGCCTGCAGGATGGAGGAGTTTCTAGTACAGTCTGGCTTTTTGTTATTTGTTATTTGTGCATTATTCTCATTTAAAGGACGTCAGGAGCAGCTGGCCTGAACATGCGCTGTCCATGGTGCTGGAAAAAATAATTGCCAAAGTTGAAATGTGAAAGCCTAAAATATAATTACCAGAACCTCTTCACACGAAAGCCTAAAATTACCAGAACCTCTTCACAATTCCCATCGTGACCAATTTTCTGGGTCTCTGGATTCCCTGAAGGCATTTCTGGAACCCTTTGGTTTCAAGTTTTTGTCGAGAAAACCACGTTCATGACCAGGCCCTGGACAGTCCGAAAGTCAGCTATATGTTTTACTCATGCATATATTTATTATACATACACAGCTTCCTTCTGTCTCACATATACTAGATATATACACATACATATACTATATAAAGTAAAGTGTTATATGTTGTCATCATTGTATGTTCCCATACAGTGGCTAAATTAGCTCTCTGCATTTAACCCATCACATGTGAGATACACCCAGGTGGAGCAATGGGCAGCTATGGAAGCACCCGGGAGCAATTAGGGATTGGGTGTCTTGCTCAAGGACACCATGACATGTGGGCATGGCGAGGAGTTGAGCCTGCAACTTTTTGGTCCCAGGTCAGCTGCCCTATCTCTACCCCATCTCGGACCCCCATATACACAAACTAGATATTTATACATATACTACAAGTAAAATACTTTCTTCGGGGCTATTCCCATCCAGGCTACTGCCTGTTCTTGCTGTTACTCTCGGGGAGTTACACGTTCATTAAGGTCCACATGTCCAGATTCAAATGCAGGTTTTACCCTAGTGTCATCAGAAATATTAACTCCTAGTCAGTTCTGACCCTACTAACACGCTACATTGCTGTTTTTTTTTATTTATAAAGCTATTTAGTGCTTGTTTTTTTATTTTAATTATATTTATTTATGTAAGTCATATTGTTTTGTTCATACTACAAGAGGATGACATTTTAATTTTGTTATACTGCAGGTGCAATGACAATATAGCCATTCAATTCAGTTACAACATACACAGTTCTGTTATTTCTCAACATAAGATGATTTTAGTGTAAAACTTTGGCATAAAAGGCGAGTTTTAGGTAATTCAAATGCTACTGGATCACAGTGATGAACACACCATCATGAAAATGAGCAATTTTAATCTTCTTCATTTAAGCTTTTTTTTTGGTCATCGTTAACAATACATGTTTTTTTAGGTGCAACTAACTGAGATGTGTTTTTATGGTTTTTTTGCTCTGCATTTATTTTCCTCTGGCTGAGTTCAGCTGTAAAACACATCAGTTACCTGTCAGAACCACTGGGTGTCTCATGATCTCAAGAGTGCTCCTTTCAGGACCAGATTAGCTTTTTTAAGGTGCCTTCAGTTGATCAGTTTATGTAGACAATATGTGGTTTTTATCTGATTTAAAAAAATTGTGTGCTTTGTTAAACTTGTTAAACCCAGGTTGATATCAAATCAGATGAAATAAACTGAATCATTAAGGTGTTAAAATTAAGAATTCATCCTTTATAATAAAAAAAAAAATCAGAATGGTAGCTCATTATAAAGATAAATAAAAACTAATAAATCATTTAGACCCACTATGAGTTGTTGTTTTTTTTTTTTATCTAAAAATTGTGACATGGAAGCTGTTTTAAATGTGTCTGTTTTCAGGAGGAGTCCAAGATTGATGTGCTGGTAAACAACGCCGGCATCTACCAGTGTCCCTACACTAAGACGGAGGACGGTTTTGAGATGCAGCTCGGAGTGAATCACTTGGGTCATTTCCTTCTCACTCATCTGCTGCTGGACCTCCTGAAGGCTTCAGCCCCAAGCCGCGTCGTCGTGGTCTCCTCGAAGCTTTACAAGTACGGCCACGTCAACTTCGATGACTTGAACAGTGAGAGGAAGTACGACAAGGCTTTCTGCTACAGCCAGAGCAAGCTGGCCAACCTGCTGTTCACGCTGGAGCTGGCCCGTCAGCTCCAGGGCACGGGGGTCACGGTGAATGCCCTCACTCCAGGCATCGTGCGCACCAAGCTGGGCAGACACGTTCACATCCCTCTCCTGGCTAAGCCGCTGTTCCAGCTCGCCTCGTTGCTCTTTTTCAAAAGCCCGTTGGAGGGAGCTCAGACGCCGCTCTATCTGGCGTGCTCCCCGGAGGTGGAGGGCGTGTCGGGGAAGTGCTTCGCCGACTGTGAGGAGGAGGAGCTGATGGCTAAAGCTACAAATGAGCAGGCAGCCAGGAAACTGTGGGAGACGAGCAGAAGGATGGTTGGCCTCGATAACGGACCGGGGGCCAGTTCTGTGGGGACTTAAGTGTTCTTGGACTAATCTTTTCTTTCTTTCTTTTTTTTTTGAGCCTCACGGACGAGAGATGTGTTGTGAAAAATCCATTTGCCACCCCGGGGGGAAAAAACACTAATGAAATGTGATAATTAACTCGCTGTGAACAACATTACAGAGAGCTGATTAGAGATTGTAAAAGGATTAGAATTAGAAAATGTGCCTTTAAATGTGGCACTTCTGAAGAAAAAGCTTTGCAACTTTATTTATTTAAATTTTCTTTTGAAATAATTCTCCAGGTTTTTGTTGTCCTCTTTTGCCAGTGTTTGAAATCTACTTTTCTTTCGACATAAAACTTAAGTAAACGGTTTGCTTGAAAGAGACAACAGTTATATTGAGGTTTAGGGGAATAAAGGTAAGAAAGTGAATAAAATTTAGTAAAAATAATAAAGAAAAACAGATTAGAAACATAGCATTTCCAAACTACTTGTTTCTTTTTCTAAAGTACTACAGACAAAGATTATATATCATATATATATATATTATATATCCGGTCACATGGTTGCTTATTCTCTTCAAACATCCCAAGTGGAGTAAAACCCGTTCATTCAGGTTGTTGTAATGCTATTTTTGTGCATAATTTAGCACATTTTTTGCCGTATAGAAGCAATTAAAACCTAAGAGTGGGAAGTTAAACTTGTTTTCTTTAATCCATTTGAAGTGTGAATGCTTTCTGATGCTTTTGAAAAAGGTTAACGATGCAAATAGTCCAAGAAAAGGGTTTTAATCACGTTGCCAGCTCTGTTTGATTCTACAGAGTCACATTTTTAAAGTGCCAAATAAAGAGAATTGTCTGCAGTGTTACATATTTGTTCTTTTTTATTGACTGTTAATATTATTTTGGCCTAAAAGTTGTGAACAAATGTTTTGGTTAGATGATTTGTTCAGATAATAGAGCTAAAATATTAAACATGCCAAGTTTTAATGACAACCTACAGGAAAACTGAGAAAGTCCTCAACCTTTAGCAGCTTGAGCAGAAATATGGGACCTTTTTGTGATATACTCGCTTAAAAGCCCCAAATAAAAGTCGTCTGGGCACAGTTAACACACAAAAATAAAGCATTTCAAAATGGGTATTTTAGACAATATTCTTTTAAAACTTTTTCTTTTGAGATTTTTCGGCCTGCTCTATATATTTAGTAGCTGGAACGAAGTATTATATAAAGGTAAACAGATGATGTATGAGATGAATCTACTCTTTTTATAGTGTGCTGGATACCGTAAATAGGAATATCTAATGCTGTAGTTTTTTTTTTCCCCATGATGACGGCCCTGAATAACTCCAACACCCCCCAAAATGAATTTGCTGATCTTTGCAAAAATCCACCTCTACAAACTTATTTTTAAATTTACAACAATGACACAGCAGAGCTTGATGATGACTCGGCATATCTGCACCACATGGCTGCAGGAGTCCGAATCTTTCTCTCTCTCTCTTCGCTGGAATTGACTTTCAATTTAAAATAAACAAATATTTTCCTCACTTTTCTGTTTTTAAAATCCCTAAATATGAAACTAATTGCAAACATTGGGTTATATGTATAATTGTGCTTTATTAAGAGGAAAAAAACAAATAAAATATATAAACATGCATCATTGTCAATCAAATAAACTAGGTTACAGAGGCTTAGAGGGGTGTGGGCATCCAAATGTGAGGTAGAACAAGGGGTGGGAAAACCTCTCAGAGGGACAGGGAAACAGAAAAAAAAAGGAAACTAATACTGACAGCTAAAACAGATGTTTACAGCTCAAAACGTTCCATCAATAACAGCAAAACACATCCATCAATACCGTCAAATTCAGTTAAAAGAAGGAAAATAGGATTGATTTATTTCTTAATTCTTCTCAGAAGGCCAACGCTGGTTCAGCCGGTTGAAAATATTGACTGAAACTGATCATATATGGCATCATCGGCAGTTTTTTTTTTTTTTAATTTATCTACAAGTTCCGGGATTATCAAGAAGGTCTGAACTTGTTTTCAATGTATTTCTTGCTAACAACTACATAGAAAATATATCACTCCATTTTTACTAGAATTTATATAACTGACTTCCATACAGATAATTTTTAAATACACTTTAAGGAATCATAAACTCCCTGCCTGTTCCCATTTGGCCTCACTTCCTCAGAAAGTTTCGGCTGTAAACCCTTGCGATCCACTTCCTCGTCTAGTCGGGACTCTTGAATGATCTTCAGGGGTCACGTTTTCAGGAAATGTCCGTCTCCCGGCTGCTCATCGGGATCGTTTCCGGTCGGCAGCAACAGAAGGTGAAGCTGAGCAACACCAAGGCTGAGATTAAGGATTAAACCCGGTTGGCTTTAGTTCAGAAGCGTTCCATAAAGCTGGGCCTTGGTCAGACTGTCCTTCCTGGAAAGTCCCAACGAGCCAAATTTTTGGTTGTAGGGTGAAGGCGGGGGCGGGGTCTGCGGTGGCGGCTGCCCCATCTGTGCGGGCATGCTGTGCATTTCCACCACCTGATAGTGCTGCAGCTCTGCAGCCATCTCCAGGGACCTCTGGTTAAGTGACTCGGTGGAGCTGTTCGGGCTGGGCTCCATGTACTCGGCGCTCTGGCCCGCAGTCACGATGCTGCCCTCCCTGTCCTTGGAACTCCCTGAGTGGTAGAGGCTGTGCTCGGACCCCTGGCTGTCCTCGGCTCGGTAGAGGTGGGCCTGGCTGTGGGCTTGCCGCAGACCTGGGCTGCTGCATTCGGGGCTGGCGGTGGCCCACACGGGGTCCATGGCGTCCGCTCCTTGATGGCGGTAGTAATCAGCCCCCTCCTGGAAGCTGCTGTAGAGTGGTCCGAGGCGGATCTTAGCGGGGCGCACAGAAAAGTGCTGCTCTGAGAAGCTGTAAGGCGAGGCCCGGCCTGGGCTGCGGTACGAGTGGGCACTCAAGTCCTCCACACTGAGCTGTCTCCATCGACTAATCAGCTCCTCCTCCTCAGGGGCTAATGTGCTTCCGCGACGACTGTCTCCAAAGGCCACGCTCGGGGAGGAAGATGGAGGGAGCGGCTCGTAGGGCTCACTGAAACACGAGGACATGGTACGGCTATAAACCGGAGAGCTGCTGTTCTGGTGGTGGCTCAGCTCGGTCTGTTGGAAGGGATGAGCGTTGGAGAAGCTCCCCGGACTGTCCCTTTCCCAGGACGAGTCGCTCTTTCTTTCATAGTCCCCTGCATCTCTCCACTCCATGTAGAGGGAGTGGTGGTGTGGCGAGGAGGCTGCACTGCTTGGCGGGTTGTTGCCTTTGTCCTCAGACCCCTCTCCACTGAAGCTGGAGTATGAGCTGGAGCCTCCGGCCAGTGCAGCAGGGAACTTAGCAAAATGCTCCTGAGAGAAGCCGTCTCTCAGTCCCACGGAGCCCTCCTCTGGAGTGCTGTCGGTGGAGTTTTGGGGCCCGTACAGCAGCGTCCTGTAACCATGGAGATCCATGCTGGGCCGCCTCTCGCGGTGACGATCTTCGGGGCAGTACAGGGCCGTGTCGCTGCTATACAGGTCAGATTTGTAGGCCGCGCGGAGCCCGAGGCGCTCCCCGGGGCCCAGTCTTTCCAGGATAAAAGTATGTTCCTGGGCCTGGGGGCTGGGGGAACGGGAAACCTGGCTGCTGCTGCAGGCTTCATCTGGCTTCTCGAGCACGTTGGCAATGAGGGAGGTGGAGTCGGAGTAGTTGTGGCAGAGAGGAGACTCCTCCAGGTGCACGGTCAGACGCTCCTGAAAATCTGCAGGCAGCTAGAAGTGACAGAGAAAAATAAAGTTTACATTTTTGCAAAGACAGATTAAGATGTTGCTAACTGTGCTTGAAGTTCTCAATGAAGAGACCTCGGTCCTGTAGGGTGTAAACTGCAGTGTTTCATACAACTCATAAAATATCAGACTTACATCTCCAGGGGTTTGAAGTGAACAAGCACAACAATCAAACCCATATCATAACCCAATCAAAGTTGATTTTTATATTTTTGTTTCAGCTTAGAAATGTGCCCTAACATGTTACATTCATACAGCTTATATTCACATGTAGCTACATAATTTTATTTCTCATTTTTTTGCCATCTTGCACTTGAAAGCTTTTTTCAAAATCTCAGATTACACAAACAAAATCAATAATTACATATTTTCTCTAAGAAATTTCCTTCTTTTGCCACTTTATGATACATTAATTGCTAAACATCCCAGTATTCACATGGTACAAAGCTTAAGTACCAGTATTTTTTCCCCAGAAACATCTCTAAGTTTAGTTTCTATAGTGGGTCTTATGAAAAATAAACATAATATAGCTAACTTTAACATCTGGTCCTAAACTTCAGGTACCAGTGGTGTCAGAATGTAAGTAAGACCCACTGATTTTGTTAAATGATCACCAACCTTTCAGGATTGTCAGATTAACCAAAGCTCTAGGTAAAAACGATCTATCGATACAGTTGGAGTTAGAGGTTTTTATATCCACAGATGGGCTTTAAATGATTCATTTTCAAGATGGAATAATAATAATACAACAACTTGTTTAAAATTTGATGCACAAGTTTGAATCTATAGCAGGTTTTATCTTATCAGCATAGGGTCAAGAGTAAACATAGACATACATTCACCTGAAGTGCTGCTGAAGGTCCTAGATTGTGTTTTAGCTTTCCATTGTCTACTGACCACCTGTTAGTGATGAGGATTTGTTTGACAGCACTCACCAGAGTGATCAATACTCATCTGTCACACTCAGATGAAAGGAAATTGATCGAGAAGGTACTGACCAGGAAATAAGCCCCTGTAGGCTCGACTGCCCACATGGAAAAGCCAGAGGAAAAGGTTTATAGTGAGACAAGACAAAAATTGAGCCACGATGATGAGAAGAACGTCTCAAAGCAAGGCTTTCAAACCTGAGAACGCTGTCAGCGACTGTCAAGCACGGCGGTGGTAGCATCATGCTGTGGTGCTGGCGTTTTGCACAAGGTGGATGGAATAATGAAGGGTGGTAACTTCCACATGCTTCAACTTCTGTTTGTGTGAATGTTGACTCAGCATTTTCGCAACCGTTTTCCAGTTTATAGTTTGTAGCGCGGTTATTGGACTAATTATTTCGGCATACTTTCAGCTGTCATTTAGGTGTCGAAACGATCAGCTTCATGTTTTTGTAACTTTTCCATTTTTTGAATTATTTAACTTTTTTTTACATTTTGTTCTCGTCAAAATGCAGAGATCTGTTCAAATTCTTGAAAACGTTGTGCTCTCTGAAACCTTTGTCAGCTGACCTACTTCATTTGTAGATTATAGCTACTGTTTGACTATTAGCTTTTAGCTGTTGTTTCGCTAATTTACCTTTTGTTTTGCTCATTTTAGCTAGTTGCTACAGCTCTGCTGGTTTTAGCTTTAGCTTTGCTGGTTTCACCATAGCTTCTGATACTTAGCATTTGCCAATTTCAGCTTTTAGATGTTGTTTTGCTTATTTTAGCTTTAGTCCTGATCGTTTCAGCTTTAACAGTTCCGTTACAGTTTCAGCTTCCTCAGTAAATTCCAACAAAGCCATTCAGCTCTAAGCGTTCACACTGTGTTTTTGCTGAAAAGACAACTTTTCCAATTTCCATATATTGAACCCAAAGCTGACATAGAATAACTCAGTAGTGATGCGTTTCTTGGTTTTCTTGAGTTGTCGTCCTTCTTCGCGGCTCTAAGTGTGTCAGTGTGCCACAGATCTCTGGCAGAACAAACTTATACAATAACTCGTCTTTGTAGTAACCGTGTTAGCGACTACAGCAAAAAGTGTCGTCTTCTGTGACACGAAGAACCTCAGAGGAAGATAAGAATAGACTGGATGTGACAATAAAAACAAACAGAGCCACAAGAATAGGCTTTTGTTCCAATTTGAGCGTTTCTCTGTAAGGAAACTTGCATCATATCTCCATGGCAACAAGCAGGATGTTAATTGTACTATATCATAGTCAGAGAAAGGGAATTTTATCACAACAGCATGACCACCGCCAGAGAAATTAAATACTGTCAACACATTTTTCTTTAAAGCTGTTTTGTCTAACATCCTTCTTAGCTTTGTGTTGGGTTCAGACAAACCCTCTCTGTGCTTGTTTTGCTGCAAAACAGCGACTAAAGCACTTCAGTGGGCGCTGAAGAGCCACTGCATTTCTCAACAGTGCAGCAGCAGCAGAAGCAGCGTTCATCAATATTCTTTCGATTAGCCTCCACCCACAGGATCAGCAGCCCGGTGGACGTACAGCGATTACATGAGCAGCCTCTGACCCTCTTTATGTTCGTCAGAGTTTCTCGCTGTATGATAGATCCTCAGCCCCGAACGCCTTTGGATGAGCTGTTTGTATGCAGGGTGGATCATTACGAGCGTTGTTTCCTTCCATACTTTTATTCAGCCGTATAACACAGGGAGGCTTTTTGTTTTTTCACCTTGTGGATGTTTGCCAGCTGTACTGTGACACGGGGGAAGGCACAGGGCCCATGGCTGATTCAGCAGAAAGTGGAGCCAAGCTGATCTGGAGTTAAAGCACTCATCAGTACTCGCATGGTTTCTGCTCGCAGCCTACAGTGTGATGAGGCTGTAGTCTGAAGTCATGCTGAAGCTTAAAGCAGCTTTTGAAGTGTGTTTCTGTGGAAAAGTTTGGAACAGCCACAAAAATGACATTTTCTGCTAAAATTGCTGAAGAGGCTGAAACTGAGTTGTTAAAGCAAATAAAAAAAAAAAAACCCAAACCAAGTCAAAAGTAACATATATACAGTAGTCCTCACTTTGCGGTTTGACTTTCGCGGGCTCGCTCTTTTGCGGCTTTTCAGCGATTGTCAACTTTAATATTACTCACATAATTGGGACGGTACGGAATAAAAAGTTTACCAAAAAAAAAAACTTAAGACAGGCGCCGCAATTTTGTAGTTTTCTTTCAATAAGCCTATCAGCCTTGACTGTAACACCAGTCAAAAAGAACTACACTACCCAGAAGCCAACAGTGCTTCCGGCTGCTGTTTTCTGCTGAAACGGAGGGATTGTTTTGCAATGCAACTCTACGCAATCTATTAAGCTCACAGAACTGGCAGGAAAGTCGCTAATGATCATCTTAAAATGTTTTAAAGCCAAGAAAGGCAGCAGGTGATGTTCATTCCTGCAAGGCTTTTCACATGTTTTTACAGTATTTTTGTTTTTCATCACTCTGAGGTGAAGGTTGTTGAAACAAATCTTTGATTTTTCCTCCATGTCTCTTAGTCCTGACATGACTTCCTGTTCCATCACACTGCCCAGTTTCATCTCTTATCTTCTCTGGCTCTCACAGGGCAAGACGACCTACTCGTTACAGTTGAGGCAGCATTTATTAAATTTTTTTTTGGCCTCAATTTCAGCTTCTAAAACCACTCATTCATACTACACTTCGCAAGTGGGAAGAAAAAAAAAAGGTTTTGCATTTTTATGCGTTCAAGTCAAATGTCAGCACAAAAAGCTTTTAAGGCTTCGGCTCTTAAAGCGTGCCGGTGGCGGGTTTACCTCAGAGAGCTGGGCTCTGTACAGAGACTTGTTGCACTGCAGCAGCTGAACAGCCAGGTTACAGTCTTTTCTGTACACGTCCTGCAGAGGTAAAACAAGGACAAGTCCAAAACAGACAACAGACAGAGAGGGATGAGAAATACTGAGATATACTGAGAACATAGCACACACACAGAAAATATAGGTAATTTTTCATGTATTGAGACACTTTTTGTTTGTTTTGCAGCTTAAAGTAATAAAAGTGAACATTTTTCATTGTGTGATTGTTGAGCTCTCATACTTTTGTTTTCCTGTTTATTTTTTATGTAAACCGGCCCATTTTGTGTTTTATCAGCCATTTGCTTATAAAATCTTCAGCTCATTCAGAAGATAAGCTCTATGACAGTTTTTTTTTTAATCTATTTTTCAACTAGTTTTTTTTTTTTTTTTACTAATATTTCCCTCACCGACAGACATTTAGATTTTGTCACATCCTTAAAAAAAACATTGTTTTATTTCCAATCTGCTTCGGTAAACTATCTCTGTTTTTGTCTTTTTAGCACTATTTATTATGTTTAGCTTTGTTTGACTTTTAGCTAGCTTTTTACAATTCAATTCAATTCAGTTTATTTATATATATAGCGCCAAGTCACAACAGAAGTCATCTCAGGGCACTGTACACTTTAACTACTGTTCTGTTTCTTTTTAGCTGTTAGTTAGCCTTCTGCTACTTTTTGCTTTTAGCTGTTCTGTTACTTTTAGCTGTTAGTTATTCTTTTAATACTTTGAGCTTTTAGCATTTTGCTACTTTTATTTGTTATTTAGCTTGTTGTAATTTTAAGCTTTGTCATCTTTTCTTCTAGGAATTTTAGCTAAAATGTTGTACTCTTATTGCTTTTTGCTACTTTTAGCTTTTGTTATATTTAGCTGTTTGTTAGCCTTTTAATACTTTGAGCTTTTAGCATTTTGCTACTTTTTATTAGTTAGTTAAACTGTTGTTATTTTAATCATCAACTATGTTTTCTGCTTTGCATTTTAGCTTAAAATGATATGCTCTTAGCTAGCTTTTTGCTACTTTTTGATTTTCCATAGCCTTTTGCTACTTTTGGCTATTGTTCGATTACTTTTAGTTATTGGCTAGCCTTTTACTATATTTACCCTGTAGAATTTGACCGTTTTTATTTTTTAGTTAGTCTCTTCTGACTTTTCCTAGCTATTTTTCTACTTCTCTTTTCTTCATCCTGTTTGCTAACATATTTTTTAATTTCAGCAATCCTTCAGCAACTTTGAATCTTTAGGCAGTCTTTTTCTACTTTTAGCTATTGTTCTACCACTAGCTAGCCCTTTTTGTTAGTTTAGGCGTTGAGCTCTTTAACGTCTTTTAACTTTAAGTCAGCATTTTTTCTGCTTTACCTTTATTCTAGCCTTTTTCTATTTTAGCTGTTTTTTTTTTTCATTTTATTTTAACTATTTTATTTTGCTACGTTTTGGTTTTAGTTATCATTTTGCTTTTTTTAAATGTTTTATTTTTTTTGGCTTAACTTAGTTTCGGCTGCTTTGGCAACTATCAGCAAATTCACTCAGTGTTCATGCTGCATTGTTACAGAAAATGCACTTTCTCCAGTTAGTTTTGTTTTCACCCACTTAGAAATAATAAAGATTACACTTTTGGTCTCGTTTTATTCGGTGTGTTTCTTCTTTATTTATTAAATGAGAGTAAAACATTTAGAATAAAAATAATTTCTAAATGTCAAAGTTCATGTTCAGTGTTTTTATCATGAAATCAGTTTTTTTTTTTGCTGTCAGGTTATAAAAACACAAAAAAGTTTTACATATTCTTAAAGGTATTAAATACTAAAGTAAAGGAAAACTGTTTCTACAAATAAAAGTTGCAAAATTAATCAGTTTTATTAATTAAAAATGTGTTGTCCTTCAGCTTCACCTGCTAAAACTGCAGGAAGACTCTCAAAAAACCAGCCACGTTTCAATTTCTTTTAGTTATAATTTAGTCTTTAATTTCCAGAGGGCAATAAAACTATGATGCTTGGTCTCCATTTGGGCAATAGGGCTAATTTTGTATACTTTTTTATATTATTTTTTGTTTTTCCACAGAGCTAAAGCAGAATTGTGTGATAGCAAGAAACTACATTTTGTTTTTGTAAAAAGAAAAAAATAATGTATTTATTTTATGGAAGATTCAGTTTCCCTTATTATGTTTTATTTGCCCTATTAATTACATTTTTTTTTTCATCACATAAAAAAAAGAAGACTCCTACAGTCACTTATATAAAGGCTGTTATGTTGTGTTTTGTTTACTCGGATCTGGGAATGACGCCAGACCCAATTTTACCCTGTTCCAGTAGCAACCAGAGCAGCTCAGACAACCAGCAGGATTTACTTATGGATGACTTCAGTGACCAGACTAGCTCCTATTAGCAATACGAAATAAAACCAGTGGATTTCTGTGCATTAAAACATCGTAGAAACATATAGTGGTTGGAAAGTACTGTGTGTGTAACTGGATTACTAAGATACAAACTGACAAATGTAAAACAAGAAGTTTATTACAGCTCTTATCACAACTTTTACTGCACAAGTAAGCCACACTGGATTTTAAAGTCAGGGCTGGTGAAGAAGACTTTTAGAGTCAACATTTTGTTGTTTGCAAGCATTTTTTGTTCATTTTCTGACTTTGAACAAGCCTCATTCACTCTGATTTCATCCGTTTTACTGTCACTTCCAAATACTCCACCAATTCAAACTAAACTGAACAAAAATATAAACGTAACGCTTTTGTTGTTGCTTGCATTTTTCATGAGCTGAACTCAAAGATCTGACTTTTTCTATGTAAACAGGCCTGTTTCTTTCAAATGTTCACAAATCTGTGTAAATCTGTGTTAGTGAGCACTTCTTTGCCGAGATAATCCATCCACCTCACAGGTGTGATATATCAAGATACTGGTTAGACAGCATGGTTATTACACAGGTGGGCCTTAGGCTGACCACAATAAAAGGTCACAATAAGCCAATAATACACAATAAGCACATGCATTTTCCACAAAAAGCATTTAAATATTTGTTCAGTGTAGTAGAGTTTTATTAGACAATTTGTCCATGCTTCCAAGTGCCTACAAGATATGTTGTTAAAGATAATTAAACTTTTTATGCTTGAAAGTTTCATCATTTGATTTAAAACCCTGGAAAATCATTAATCCAAGCACAAAATAAAATAAAAACCAGAATGTGTTGTTGCAGGTTAAAGGAGGCCGTAAGGCTCGAACTTACGTTGTCCTCCTGCAGCTTCTCGATGGTGAGCTTGGCCTCCATCAGGTGGTTGTTGAGGACGATGATTTCTCTGCTCAGAGCTCGTTTTTCATCATCGTGGTGCTGAGACTGAGACACAACACGGGACTTGATCAGCATTTTGTAGCAAAGATTTGGAACAATAATTTTTAACGTGCCACCTTTTATTTTTAGTTTGAGTAACTTCCTCTGGGTCAGGGGTCTGCAACTTGCGGCTCTGGAGCCACATTTGGCTTTTTGGTTCCTCTGTAGTGGTGCTTTCAAACTTTGACCAAAACTAACATAAAACTGAATTTTATTGGTTTACCAATAACAGAAATGGTTAGTTTCAGCAGTTCCTTTCATTTCTTTTGCAAATATGTGAATATTTAAACTAATACAAGGATTAAAATATCTTGATGCATGCTCAACAATCCAGGTAGAAAAATCCAAACAAGTTAAGTCAGGTCCTCTGGACGTTCAAAAAACAACCAAAGAGCCACATGTGGCTCCAGAGCCGCAGGTTGCAGACCCCTGTTTTCTGAACGCCCAGAGGACCTGACTGAACTTTTTTTGGAAAAGGAGTAACACATACTTTAAGTTTATGTTTTACTTCTTCAAAGTAGGATACTTAATTATTTTTTCTACAATTAAATAATCACACAGGCCTGCCTAGTTCATTGCTTTACTTTGAAAAAAATGTAAAAATAATACAATTTATTTTCTTTCTTTACTAAATTTTGGTATTTTCTTTTGTCTTAAAATAAAAAATATAAATAAATGTTAAAAAAAAATCATTAGATTTTTTAGTTTTATAATGTCACCTCTACTGGCCACAAAAGCCCCCTCCAACAAACTTAAAGTGGTCTATGAGCCACTAGTTTACATTTACAGTTGTAGCAGGTTTTACGGCTCCAGGCACATTTCATTTATTGAACAAAGGGGCAGAAATGGCTCTTTTTATCATAAAGGTTGCAGATCTCTGCTCTGGGTCCATGTTAGCTAAAAGAATATGATTTTATATATATCACAGCAGCAGGAGAAAGAGAGCGAAGAGGCTGTAAATTTCTTCTTCTTGTTGCTTCCCGACATTATTGAGGTTTGCATCTCTGCAAGTGCTCACGTGGACTTTAACTTCCAGTTCAAATCCAGGTGTTCCCAATAATGAAAGAGAATAACTGGCCGTAAGCAGGTGCCCAAATAATGTGATTATTTCAGTGTCCCAGAAACAAGTTGAAAGGGCTACCGGTCATATGACCAGAAATGTTCATGTAACTATAAAAAGAAAGAGAGGAGAAATCCTGCGGCCATGGCTTTCTGTTCAAGAAAAACTTTTAGAAGATTTAGATTCAGAAGACTCACTTCTCAGGCAAGCTTGTAGTTTTATGTTTAAATGATCATAAAACATTAATAAACAGAATAAACCAGCGCTCCAAATAAAGACACAGAGTAGACTCAAAAAAGGAAACCACTCTGCAGCTGAAGTGTCTGAAGGAGATGTTGTTTCTGAAAACTTTTATCTTTTATGGGTTATTTATGGACTGAGTTGTCAGTAAAGTCAGCTTCCACTGAGCACAATCTTTTTTTGAAAAAAAAAAAACAAAAAAACATTTTGTGTTAGCTCTGTTATTCAGTACAAATTAAATTAAAGCTGAGAATTTCTTGAAGGAACGCACATTTCCCGCCACCTTTCATCCCAGAATTTTAGATTAAATTCATCAGTGTGTTGTGAATGATTATTTGCTACAACACCATATTTTAGCATAAACTTGGTCAAATTAATCAAATTTTAGTCATTTTTGTGCTTTCTGAGGCTAGTTGACTTTCTGAGGTGGCCATCTTGTATTAGCTTAGCTTCAAAACAGTGCTGACTCCAAATAGTTAATGTAAAAAATTTTAACAAAGATCTTTCACAATCAGTTCACACTTAAGCTATATTTAGGGGACAAGTCGCATCAACTATCAAACAAAGTTTCATATCTAGAACTGTCATTTCTAACCTGAACCCAGAGACCGGCTCAACCCGGATTAGTCATAATAATGTGCTTAATGTGCAAGCCGGGCTGGTGTCAGGTTTTTGATTGCATCAGCGGACACACGAAGCTGATGATCCAATTATATGCCAGCATGGCTTGCCATACATTCATCACCCGCATGCGGCCATTTGACCGCGTGCTGACCAGCCTTGAAAGAGGTTAAAAAAAAAAAGTTTGGTTAAAGTAAAGAAAGACATTCAAACAAATGAGACATATTTGTTCTTTCCATTAGAAGGTGGTGGTGCAATTTAAAAAAGATTCAGCTGCACTCAGCGGACGCGCACGGCCGATGACCCAAACAGGTGAGATCCCAAAATATCCGACATGTCAGAGCAGGGTATGTGTCTGAATAATGCAGAATGCAGGCAGAAGCAGGGATTTAATGCACTTTGATGGCCATGAAAGGACAAATACCCCCTCAGCTCTGATTTTCTACCCCTTTACTCAGCTGCATGCGTCCGCCGACTATTAATATCTATATTAGCTTGTCAAAGCTTAATTAAAAATTCCTAGTTTTTTTTTTTATTATTATTCAGAGCTGTAATTACTGTTAATTCGTCGGGTTGGATGGGGTTCGGAAATGATGGTTACGGGCTAGGGCTGGATTGGGTTAGATTTTTTGGGGGCCGACTGCAACTCTACGCTATATCTGTCAAATTAATTAAGTTATAAAACTTTTTAAGGTTTGTTGGCCTTAAATCAGTCAAACTTTCTGCCATTTTCCAATGTGATGAGATATTCTGTTAACAGACACACACACAGGTGTAAAGATCGTTGCCCACCTTCATCTTTCAGAGTGGCAGACCACTTGTCAGTAACATGCATGTCGAACAGTTATTTTGATTTAAAGCAGCCGTAAACTAGATCCTTTCTGTAACATATGGTGTGAAGTTTCAGATGTTTGGAGTGGCCTGCGAGTAAAGGCGCAGATGCTTGTGTTTATCCGTCTTGTAATTACATTCTCCGCCGCTGTGCAGGGGCCCAGGGGTCAGACGGGTTTGTGGCACCTCTGGAGTAAACAAGTTTTACGATTGCAGTGAGACTTACTCAGCACCTCTCTAACCTTTGAGGAGGCTCTACGTGAGGTGAATCCATAACAGCCGATCAGAGTGCTTCTCATGGAAAAAGAGCAGTTTGCCTTCATTTAAAAAAAAAAGACCAATTTTCTTCACTCATAGCACCGGGTGACCTTTAGCTTCTCTTCCTTTCCCATACCTGGGTGTCTCACATTGTGTTCACTGTGATGTTGGCCGTAATGATTATTATCTCGCAGTGTAGCGAACCAACTTGATGAGCATTTTCAAACTGTCTATTCACCAGTGAAGACACCTGATGGTTACGGCGTTCCCATGCAGACTTGTTAATTCTATCTTTCCCCGGGGCGACAGCAGCTTCTGACGAAGGATGTGAGGTGTGCTGCTCTGAGGAACAATGGGTTAGCTTTTCCTCTGCCAGTGGAAGGAGGACAGCCAATTGTAATAAGCCATAATTAATGTCAGTGGCACAAACAGCGGGGGGATTGAAGCTCAATCTGGGCCTCCAAATGTTCTGTTCCATCTCCAAAACCATGACTTGCTCACATGCTTCTCTTTCTTCTTTGACAAGGAGGACAATTTGCATAACTGTGTACAAATGCACAGGCTTCAAACCACACACACACATAGAAGTTTAAACACTTACATCTCTGTGAATTTTTTCCTCCAGATCCTGGTTGATTCTCTGTAGTGCTGAGTAGCTGCTCTGTATTCTAAACAACAACAATAAATCAAACAATAAACAACACAATAAAAACCACAACACTGTCACTCGCAGACAATAGCTGTTGTGTATAAATACTGAATATACTTTGTACAATCGCAGAGAAGTATACAAATTGGCATATTTGCAAGGTTAACGTAAAGTATTACATAATTTCCTCTCGTGCTATTTGCATAAAACCAAAAAAAGAAGAACCGAGTAGCTAAGTCTAAGCTTTTTATGCACTTTTCTGTAAATAAAATGTCCATAAAAAGCATAGGTCTTCAATTTATTTTGTGTTTTAAAACACAGGTGATAATTGATAGGCCATCTTAAGGACAGAATAGATAATAATATCTTTATTATCCCCGAGGGACAATTAGTTTCACAGTCAGTAGAGATATAAAACATCCATACTACACAAAACATTAAGACATTAAAATAACAATATGGAAGTCATCAATGTTCACTGAGAAGCCTGATCACTCCAGGGATGAATGAGTTTTTCAGTCTGTTCATTCTACATCTAGGCAGCAGATACCTGCGTCCAGATGGAAGCAACCTGAACTCACCATGGAGTGGGTGATCAGGATCTGCCAGAATCAGCCTGGCCTTGTTCGTGTAGGACAGTGAGGTTCTGTAGGGCTATGCAGGCAGTTTTGCTACACATCCTGACAATCCCCGAAAGTTTGTTCCTGTTTTTGCATGTCAATCTTTTGATCTTATACTTGCATAATTTTTACTTGAAATTATCTTAATACTCTTAAAATATTATAATTGCTTTATATTTTGGTTCATTTTATGTTAAACCGTTTTATGCAGATTTGTGGATGGATAGATGGATGGATGGATGGATGGATGGATGGATAGATGGATGGTTGAATGGATGGGTGGTCAATAGCAAAATTTCATACCTGTTATACTATCTTCTAAAATTTCACAACCAATCAGGATCCAGAAAAGACTGAAATGGGGACAATGGACACCTCCAAATACATAGGTCCCCCCCACCCATCACTCACTGTCCAAAGCCTCATTTTTGTCACCTTAATACACTCAGTAACATTAGAAATATGTAAAGTGAAACCACCTGCGCAGTTTATCTGTGAATTTATCCAGCTCCTCCTGCGCTCGGCGCAGCTCGGTCTCCAGGTACTGCCGTGTGGAGTCGAACTCGTTCTGCAGCAGCTCCAGTTTGTGTGTCGTGTAGGAAAGTCTCTTTCGTAAGTCCTCCTTCTGTTCCAGCAATGAGCTACACACACATACACACAAACACACACACAGCAGATAAATGAGTTTAGAATGTGCAACAGAAGAAACAAGTTTGTAACCTGGGTCCTTGCTTCTTCAAATTGACCTATTGGAGTCTACATGTCTTTTTAATGGCCATGCAGCTTTGAAGGGTGACATCATGAGAATGTAATAAAAGCAGAAATGTTCTTTGGAAAAGTGCATTGTACGAGGAAACACATGAAACCAAAGACGCAATCGCTAATTGATCGCTAATGGATTCAGAGCTTTAGAAGTCATTAGGCTTTGAACATGAGATATTCTTCTGTATTCAAACTTTCTGGCACATTATGAAAACAAAATCAGCAGTGAGACTGGTCAAATGGAAATAAAGAAAGTGTAATTTATGATGAGAGGTAAGTCGATGAACTCTAATACATTATATGAATAGATCCTAAAGGCTCAGATTTACAAAACAGTGATATCTCTAACATTTAATTTAGCAAGACAGCCCATTGATGGCTATTTTTGGACTCAATGCATTACCTGGGCTTCAATCTAATAAAAGGGCAAGTGTGAGTGGGGAAAGCGGAAATGTCTGTTGCTGTAATGGATCTGAGTGTGCACTGCTCAGCTTAATGGACCTTGTATTGACAGGACAGATGGAGGAAGAAAGGTAATGACTCTATCTGCAGCCAGATAACAGATAGCTCAGAATGGATGGAGATGTGGTCACTTTGCTCTTTTTGCTTTTTCTATTTTTCTTCATTTACATTTATTTCTTGTAACAAGGGAGAACTCAAAAGGTCCCCAATGCAACCCCCCCCCCCCCCCACTTCCCCCCCCCCCCCCCCAAAAAACAAAAACAAAAAAAACAACATATGGTAATATTTTTCAACTTAATTAATGAATTTAGGATTCCTACCTCTTGATAATTTATCTTACTGGTTGGCGAGAGTAATGGCAAAATAAATGATGACAGTTGCAGCTTTGACTGCCCTATTGTGATGCACCTGCAAGTACCCAAATGATTCACCTAGGTCTGAAAGTTCTAAATATGAAGAGTGTAAATAAAGTTTGAATCAAACTACCCTGCAATCATTGCACTTATTTTGAAAGGGGTGAAATTTGTAGGCCTTCATGAGTTATTCAATTAATCACTCAATGCTGAATTAAGTAATAATTAAAATTTATCTTATTTTATTTTGATGATTTTTACTAGTTGTTAGTTGGCTAACTTAGCTATAGACCAATCCAGGGCTTAATTTTAACTGGATCCTGCTGAAACAGATCATATAGACATATAGACAGACCCAGAAACTCTTATTTTGACAGGGTGCATTCTGGCAACTGTTTGCATGGATCCGATAACGCTCAGGCTCACTAATAACAAAGTTATGAACAATTATGACTGCCTTGCGCAAATAAAACTTATATTGGATATGTAAACTGAAAATAATTAAATAAACACTAATTTTAAACACAACAGCCACTTACGAGCATAAGATCTACCCCTTCAAGTAGCATTTCCGCTTCTACCCTTAAAAAAATCTCTGCCCCTTAAAGAGTGGAGGGGGTGAGTGCTGAGCTAAACAGGCAGTCATATGCGGGCAGGAGCCCACAGGCAGCCACCATGAACAGAGGAGGCACCTGGAGTTTTCACATGGGGAGTCAGAGAACAACGAGCAGGACAGTGAACTCAGAGGAGAAGAGTCGGGCTCAGAACCATCAATTAAGTGGGGGGGGGTAGGATGCTTGACAGAAGCGGAGTGTTTACAAATGGAGGTAAACGTAGATGTTTAACAATCTGTTAAAACACTAAAAAAATGCAGGAAATTGCATATACTTTATTCAAAATTTTCTGGGAGAGGACCCCCAGACCCCCACGCAGTCGGCCTGCCTGCTATTTGTGTTCCAGCATAGATCGGATCGATTTGTTTACTAATTAAGTCCTGGATAAATCATTCACATTCCTGTTGCTAGTTAGCTAAATTAGCTTATTAGGTAAATCCTCTCCCACTTGCTTACTTAGCCATAATTACTAGCTAGCTAAAATAACATCATTGCTGGACAATGTCTCCCACCCAATGCATGAAGCTGTTGCTGAACTGGAGAGCTCGTTCAGTGACAAATTACTGCATCCTAAATGCACAAAGGAGCGTTACCGCAGGTCCTTCCTCCCAGCAGATGTTAGTCTTTACAATCATCACTGCTCCCAACAAACTCAATACGGATTAAATACATGCTGACCTCTGCTAAAACATACACTCTACCTACTGTACTGTAAATAGTCTGCCCTTCTCAATATTCCAGTACATACTGAACATTTTTATTGATATTGTTTATCTTATTTCTTTATATATTGTTTTTAACATTTAAGAACTTTTGTGTGTGGACAATAAAGGCTTTTTCTATTCTATTCTAGTTAGCTCAATTGCTTGTTGCTTGTTTAAAAACTTAGCTGTCAGGCCATTCCTCTTCTGTCTTTGGTAGAGTATGTATAAGTGCTATGTGTTGTCATCACTGTATGTTCAATGGCGAAATTAGTTCTCTGCATTTAACCCATCACACCTGGGATACACCCAGGTGGATTAGTGGGCAGTTAAGCACCTGGGGAGCAATTAGGGATTAAGTGTCTTGCTTAGAGACACCACAACAAGTGGGAATGGCTGGGGCTCAAGCCTGGAACTTCCGGGTCCCAAGTCAGCTGCCCTAACTCTTCCCCATCTCGGACTCCATAGTTAGATATTTCAAAATTTCATTGCTCATTGCATTAACTAAGTTATCTGGTTAGGTCATGTTTTTCCTCTTTTGCTAGGGAGATAATTTAAATAGTTAAATAGCTCCTCTAGCCTAGTAGTTGCTAGTTAGCTATAGTTACATAATCAATTTCTCATTGTAAGTTAGTTAACTTTGTTAGTTTTGTCATTTCAGTTGTTGTTGAAAGTTAGCTAACTTATTTTAAGTGATTCCTCTAACTCACTTAGGTTGTTGGACCTTTTCTTTTGGCGTTAGATAACTAGTCATGTAGTTCCTGCTAACAAATTAAGCTAACAAAACTATTTGGGTATTTTGTACATTAATTCCAAGTTGAGGCAACTCTTTTTGACTGTAGCGCAGATCTGAATCTTTATATTTTTAGTTTGAGATCATTCACTTATAAATGTGTTTTATTTTACTCAAAGATAAATGTTTGTCTAAAAGTGAAAACAGACATGCTAACTTCAGACTGGATCTGAACTGTTTATGTTTCTCTGAAAGCTGCTTCAACTGAGGCTGCTGTATTTGCCAGTGAGTGAAAAATACCCTGCCTAACGATTGATTCAATGAATGTCTCAACTGACTGGATGACATTTAAGTGCTGCATTATCCAGCAGTGTCCACCGCCTCACCTCCTGCCTTTTTTTATGGGCAAGCATTAGCTGGGGAATACAGGTGTTTGTTGTTGGGTACAGGGTGACTTTGCCTGAAGTGGCTCCAGGGATGAAAAATCCCCCATTAGTGACCTCCTCTGTGAACAGGAGCTGAGTCAGACATAATGAGTGTTTTCATTCTGGTGAGATGAGATGACGAGGCAGCATGACTTCTGGGCTTGGAAAGGCAGGATGAGGCTGCTTTAACACCACTGAACGACGACAGGAGACACCTCGTGGGCGGATGAATGTACAAACAGATAAAAGGAGAATGATGGAGAGATAGCACAGATGAGAGATTCACTCTTACCTCTTTTTAGGGTGTTTGCCGCCATTTCGGGGGACTTTTAAGGCAGTTTTGCCAATGTATATCTTTTTCATGGTTTGTCTCTGTTCCTTCCCTCTCATGTGTTTATAGGGCTTGACCACAGGAGGATGTCATGTATGTTTGTTTTCCAAAGATCAGCTAAGTATGGGTGAAGAATTATTGTGTTATATCTGTGTTGACCCTGCCAACAAAGCAAACAGACAGTTTGGCATCTATTAGTAGCTAAAACTGGGATTCGGTTTGAAAAATAATGTTTCAGGAGAAAATGCTGCATTGAACCTGTTACAATTTTGCAGTCAGATTACAGTTTATCGTCAACAAATTTCTTGACAAAATGAGAGAAACAAAATGACAAAAAAAAAAACTCAGTTTAATTGAGTAACAAACTGTTTGAAGGTTAACATCCATTATTTGTTCCGAAAGAACAAAAGGATTATGCAGCAAATTCAGATGAAGTTTGCAACAAGAACGGAAATTTTATCCGAAGTATTTCAGTATGCAGAGTATTTCTTTGACCACAATTTTCATTTAGCAAACTTTAAAAAAAATTAACAATTATTTTATAAATATAAGTTTAAGTTAAAAAGAGTGTTCAAATTTTGATATGATGAATGAATGCTTCACAACCATCTCCATTTTCTACCACTTATTTGTAGTTGGGTTGCAAAGGTTACAGGTCCAGGAGAGAAACCAGACATCCCTATCCCCACTAACACTCTCCAGCTTCTCCTAGGGGAACCCTAGGAGTTTCCAGAAAAGAGATGTTACACAATCCCTCTAGTGAGTGCCTTTCTCAAGGCCTTTTCCCAGTGGGGCGTGCCCAGAAAATCTCCAAAGGAAGAAGCCCAGGGGGTATCCTAATCAGATGCCTGAACCACCTCAATTGACTCCTTCCGATGCAAAGGAGCAGCAAGCCCCGGATGATGGGGCTCCTCACCCCCTCTCTAAGACTGAGCCTGGCTACCTTATGAAGGATGCTCATTTCGGCCACTTGTACCCTGGATCTCGTTCTTTACTCCATGATCCAAATCTCAGGACTAAAGGTAAGGGTTGGAAGATTGACACACCAGTAAATCAAGAGCTTTGCCTTTCGACTCAGCTCTTTCTCCACGACAGTCGACAGAAGCAACACCCTAAATCCCAAAGACAGTGCCCCAACCCATCAATCAATCTCCTGCTCCATCCTACCATCACTCCTGAACAAGATGCCCAGATACTGAAACTCTTCTACCTAAGGCAAAGACTCCCACCCCCAGCCAGGAGAAAACATTCCACCAGTTTTTGGTTGAGAACCATGGCTTCGGACTTAGAGGAGCTTACTCTGTTTTGAAAATGCAACACATTTATTTCCTATATATCAAACACATTGATCACAAGTTGACATATCTAGCTTGACGAGATTTCAAAAGATATAAAGTCCCTGAAAACCATTTCCTTCGGCCTGCCTGCCATCTGCATCTTGGTGGTGTCCACAGCCCAGGTGCAGCCTTCATCACACAGATAAATGGAATAGGTTATTAGATGAGATGGCTGTCAAAGCCTGATCAAAGCCCCTCAGATCTGCACATTGAACTGACCATTCAGGACAGAAACAATGACAGACTGTGTGACCACAGCATAGTTATAGATCTTCTTGTTTGAGCTGGTGTGGCCCTAAATTTGCACATTTGTCAAAACCAAGTGGCACGAAGACACATGTTGATCCACCGACACTCAGTTGTTGAGTGATGATTTATGCTGCTGGCTGAGGAGGCACAGAGACATGTACTTTTCCAGATGGTGACAGCTCACCACAGCCACTGGAGTCTTCACTCCAGCTGCTCCCCTCTGAGTCATCCCACACCAGCTCTCGTTATGTGTGTGCGAGAGAGAAAGCAAGAGGGATTTGGCAGGTGTAAGATGCCTTTTTCTGCATATAAGACGTATGACTGTATTATGAATGCTTATTTACTGCTTATATATACATAGATGTTTGTGGTGTACCTGCATATAAGTGTGTGTCCACGCTGCAGCATGTTAAGGTTTTGTTCTTTCACCATGAATCATCAAAATAAACCATAAATTTCAAAAAAGGACAGCTGTTATTGACACATCTCCAGCCACGCCAGGTGTCTGCCATATTCACTCGCTTGCTTCCTCTTCTTTTAGCTGATCCTCACACTGCAGCAAAAACCTTAGAAGGGGCTCGTTCAAACAGTGCTGCCTGCCACCCACTCGTGGCACGCTGACATTTGAGAGGAACTCAGTGCATTGAAGGGGAGGAAGAGGGAGGTGGGAAAGGAGGAGGAGGACATGAAGTTTTAGAATGGGGCAGAGGGAAATGCAGGAAGCTTCTGGAGGGGTGAGGTGGGGTTGCGAGCCAGAACGTTTATGGTTTAGTCAAAGACAGTAAGGAGGACGCCTGCATTGCCAGATTAGTAAATACAATCAAAGGAATGGATGTGAACTCCTCACTGAAAGACCCTAATTTTTTCCCCTCTTCAGTCATTCAGTTGCTCCTTTTCAGGCTTCTTGATTACATCTACCTTGCAGATAGATGTCTCTCAGGAAAAGCCCTTATCACACAGTCAGACCTAAGCACTATAGCAGAAGATTTCCAATTGGCTGACTCATCCAGCAGCACAGGAAGGAGGTGAAAAAAAGATGCTCATTCCACCCTGCGTGCCTTCAGATTAACAAAGCAGCAAACTCAGTCCAATAAGGCATGACTCAACCACCTCATAGAAAGAAAGTGCAACTTTCAAATTAAAGTGAATGTGTGTGGGTTCATGTCTTTGCCAGTTTTCTTTCTCGGCGTTGATTAACTTGGGAGCAGAAACCTGGTTACACACCAACACTGTTAGCAGCGGTGGGTCATAATGACCCGCTGAACAGATCTGATGTGCTGTTGGTGGCACTCAGCTCAGCGGAATGTGCAATCACGACAACTTCGAGAGAAATTTTGAGATCAGCCGAACAAGTGATCCAGGCATAAATACAAGCAAAACAAACATGTATGTTTCTGTTTTTAACACCCCAAGAATCAACACAAAGAACAAGAAGCTCTAAAGCAAACAGACAGAGAAAACGGCATCACGCTAACAAGGAGGGTCTATGGTAATACTTCTGGAAGGTGTTTTTGACATATTATGCATACTGGTTGGAGGCTAGAAAAGCCTCAAGCTGTAATGCACAAATGTGACACAATAATGTACAAGTACAAGCTATTCTACAAAACAACAGCAGCAGTCCCCAAATGAGAAATCCATGTCACGCTGCCAGAGAATCCTACTGAGAGCTGTCCTAGCAAGCCGACTGAGATTTCACCTTCCTGCAACCCAGAATATTTACACTTATCACTCAAACTTTCAAAGTGTCCTGCTGGTTTCTTTGCTCCAAATCAGCGGTACTGATTTGTTTTTGCATTGCAATTTTTTTCCCCATCAAACTGACAGTTGTTAAAAGATGGACACTTTTCTCCATGCTGTTTTGCCTCAATGCCTTTTGACTCTGACTTCCTGGCTCAATTTTACTGCTCGGAGTAAAATAGGTTGGAAAATCTTGTGATATTTGGCTTGTTTGCAGCAAAATTAAATAAATAAAATAAAATAGAAAATACAAAGAGAGGCGCTTGCCACGTTTGGAGACACAACCCGAAGGAGATGGGATGTAAAGGCACAAGCGGCTTTCAAAAGGTCTCAGTTCATTAAAAATAGAATAGACACAAACACAATTGCATGCGCACACACATTCACACACACACACACCAAAAAAAAAACCACAAACCCACACAGCATGCTGCCCTGTACCAACCATACTGCATGTTGTTTACGAGTGTAGCTCAAATGGACAGGTAGTGATTAGACCCAACAAAGAAACAACCTCTGCAAACCTGCTAGACTGCAGTGTGCTGCTGTTTTCCTGTGTGTGTGGATGTGTGTGTGTGCACTTGTCTTGGTGGCGTTGTGAGGACCTACCCCTGACGTTAGACCTTTCTTGTGTGGACATTTTCCCTTGTGAGGACATTTTACCAGGTCCCCACAAGGAAGTGTGTGTGTGTGTGTGTGTGTGTCCATGTGTGTATAAGGCATTTCTGCACTTATATACAAGCTTAGAGCAGTCGTCTCAGTTGTACTTAGTGATCCATCTGCGACTCTCAAGAGGCAGCCTAAAAAAACCTCAACTGTGGGATGAGTAAATGAAGAAAAATGTTCACAACGTAAAGAAAGCATCAGAGCAGGTTTGCACCACTGTCTCATTAACTTGGAGGCTAAAAAAAGATGTGTAATCTGTGGTGTCCAGTTCATTAATGTCACAAACAAACCATAGAAAATTGTTGGGAAGCTACTGGTGTACAGCGTTTATCCATTCAGCTTATTAGAAAGACCACTGTGGTTTTATATTTACTATTGTTCAGTACGATGAAAACATTTGGTCCACAACGCTTACTGAAAAAAAAAATTATGTGTACAGAAGTCCCTCGTTTATCATGGGGTATCCATACCCTGAAGCCCCATGATAAGTGAAAAACCATAAAGTAGGAATAGTATTACAAGTAGTAGTTAGTAGTTTATTTTAGTATGTATATATATAT